TATTTATTTATTATGTATACAATATTCTGTCTGTGTGTATGTCTGCAGGCCAGAAGAGGGCACCAGACCTCATTACAGATGGTTGTGAGCCACCATGTGGTTGCCGGGAATTGAACTCAGGACCTTTGGAAGAGCAGGCAATGCTCTTAACCACTGAGCCATCTCTCCAGCCCAGAAATCCTGTCTTGAGGAAAACAAAACAAAAAACAACAAAAACCAAACCAACCACACACACACACAAAAATATATATACAAAAAACAAGTAATCAAACACTGGAATGTTTTTTCTTATAATGAATCGTTCTCAAGTTTCTTCATATTATCTATGTTTCTGAACTGAATAGAAATTGAAATTAAGGATGTGTGGTGGTGGTGCACAACTTTGATCCCAGCACTTGGGAAGCAGAGCCAGGTGGATCTCTGTGAGTTCGAGGCCAGCCTGGTCTACAAGAGCTAGTTCCAGGACAGGTACCAATAACTACAGAGAGACCCTGTCTCAAAAATCCAAAAAAAAGGGAAGAAAGAAAGAAGCTGAGCTAAGAAGGTTACACAAAATATAGAAAATATAGTCTAGGCTTTAAAAATACGCAAGCTCCACGGGCTTGATGGAGGGATGGGTGCTGTGAAAGGTGGGGGGGACCAGTGTCCATGCTCTCATTTTGAAACCCCAGACTATGTGAGCCACAGTCCTCACCTCAAAATGCTTGAGACATTAAACTAGGTCATTTGCTACTTTACTAATAAAAACAATCTGGAAAGGGGAGAAGGCATCAATAAAAACCATTATAAACCTTAAAAAATAAAAATCAATATAAACCTTAAAAAAATATGCGAGCTACCCTTCAGAGCAGTGAGAGCACAAAGACACCTGAGGAGATAACAACCAATCTCAAGTGGCATTTTGCTTCAGAGGAGGTAGGCAAAGGGGTAGGAGAGGAGGGTTTATGGGCTGGTCCACATACAACTGGAGAAATGTTATATTCTAAAGCTAGAGATATTACTGGTATCTTTCTGTATACTTTTTGTTGCAAAGCTCAAAAATTTCAATGTAGTATTTTTGGTAATTATTTTATGTGAATGGGTTTCACTTACACGTATTTCTGTGCACCACTTACAGGCCTCTCAGACTAGAGTTATATACATGTTATATACATGGTTGGGAATCACAATGTGGTTGCTGGGAACTGAACCTGGATCCTCTGGAAAAGAAGCAGGTACTCTAACTGCTAAACCATCTCTCCAGCCCCTCAAAATAGTTTTGAACCAAATTTGTTTTTGTTTTTGAAGAAGGAGAGACTAAACCGAGTTATCAAGAATGCCAAGCAAGGTCAGGAATGTTAGCACACACCTTTAACCCCAGCACTCGGCAGGATGAGGTAGGCGGATCTCTATGAGCTTTAGGTCAGTCTGGTCTACACAGCCAGCTCCAGGTAAGCCAATACTAAATAGTGAGACTCTATCTCAATAAAACAAAAATGAATGGATGAATAAATAAATAAATGCCAAGTAATTGCTCTACCATGAGGTACATTCCAAACTCTGAAGTAATTTTCAAATATTATTTCTGGATTTATTTATTCATTTATTTAATTCTCAGACAATATCTCACTGCAGTCCAGTCTGGTCTTGAACTCAAAATCCCCTGTGAAGAGGTACAGCTGGGTCTGTACTCACGGTTCAGCAAGCATCATGGGCAGCGCATTCTCCTGGATCTTGGATGGTCGATTGAAGCCCATGGCATAGACTCCTTGGAGGAGCTGCGGTTTCCTAGGAGACAAGGTAGAGATGAGATGTTTTTAGACATCTTACCCTAGATCTAACAAGACATGGTGCTTCCTTGTAGGGATAAGTCCCGCCCCTTAGGGGGCGTGTTCGCCCCAGGCTAATGTATTCTTATAAATCTGGCGCTTTCCTGGTCTCCGTAGAACGGTGGTTCTGTAAGTCTATTTCTCCATTAAAGCTGTATATATTTTTACAATCTGTCTGCATTCGTTTATGCCGTTACACTTCCTATCTCAATCAAACTATTATTCTAAAATTTACATTTATTTATTCTCTATGTATACATGTATTTGTGTGTTAAGGCTACCATTAATTATTCTAATCATTCTACCCTTTTTGTTGTTGATTTTTGGTTTTTTGAGACAGGATTTCTCTATATAGCCCTGGCTGTCCTGAACTCATTTTGCACACCAGGCTGGCTTCAAATTCAGAGATCAGCCTGCCTCTGCCTCCAAAGTGCTGGGATTAAAGGCATGTGCTGCCATGCTTGGTTTGCCTCATTTTTTAAAAACTATTTTTATTTCTTGGAGACAAGGTCTCTCTGTGTAGCCCTGCCTGTCCTGGCGCTCACTATAGCCCATCTTGACTCATCTCCTGAGTGCTTCACCACAGTTACCTGGGCTTTGTGCATGCTAAGCACTCTACCAAGTCAAGTACACTGCTATCCTAAAAGTCTTATTTTCTGGTTCAGATGCCAAAACTGAGCCCCAATTTTGTGTGCCCAGCTGGACTAACAAGGCATCCAAAACAAAAAAAAAAAGGGGGGGGATTAAGTCAGTTTCTATGGTAACCAGGTAAGTGTGGTTATTTAGACAGATGTGGTTAAATCTAGTCAAATCTAAGACTAGATTAAGAGACATGCTACACCACGCTTGTTATCACAACACTTGATAGACTAAGACAAAAGGACTGCTGGAAATTCAAGGCTAGCCTGGGCTACTGTGCAGTAGTCTAAAAAATAAGACTAGAAAAGCACCAACTTCTTAATTTGTTGTTTGCTTTTTGTCCCCGCCTCCAGAGTGCTGAGATGATAGGCCCGCACCACTACTTTTGGTTTATGCAGGGCTGGCAATTACACCCAGGGTTTCAAGCACTTTACCAACTGAGCTACATTCCTAGTCCTGGCAACAAGCTCTTAATCAACTACATAGCAAATAGCAATTAATACTACATTTATGCTGTGTTTACAATAAGTTCTCTACTACCCCTACATTCACAAAACATCTAACAAAACCCACACAGCACCCTTTACTTATCTTTACTTTTTATGTATTTATCATCACCGTGCCTACATGCACGACAGACACCTGTGAATGTGGGTCTCACCTGCTGTGGCCCATGCACATGTGGAGGTTACAGGACAACTTTTAGGAGTTGGTCCTCTTCTTCGACCATGGATTCCAGAGATTAGATGACAGTTATCAGCTTGCAAAGCAATGTCTTTTATCCACTGAGCCATCTTGCCAGCCCAGGAAGCTTTTTGCTTTTGTTTTTTAAAGGAAAGAGTTCACATAATCCAGGCTGGCCTTGATCTATGTTGCTGAGGGTAGCCTTGAATTCCTGATTATTTACCTCCACCTCTGTCTTGAGAGCCTGGATCACAGCACAGATGTTCAGCTTTTCACAGAAAAACTAAAAACTGGGCATGGTGTCTCATACCAATAATCCCAACACTTAGAAAGCTCAGGAAAAAGGATTGCTTCAAGTTGCAGACTATCCTGGGCTACACATGAGTTCCAGGTCAGTCTAAGCTACTGAGTGAGGCTTTACCTTTTAAAAGGGGGAGTAGGGGAGGACTAACAAGATAGCGAGTGAAGGCACCTGCTACCAAGCCTGGCTGAGTTTGATCTGTCAGATGGACCCACATGGTAGAAAGAGGGAACTGACCCCCACAAGTTACTCTGTAACCTCTGCACATGCACACACACAATAAATGTAATAAAAGACAAAGGGGCTGAAGAGATGGGTCAGCAGATTAAGAGCACTGGCTGCTCTTCCAAAGGAGCTTGGTTAGATTCTCAGCGCCCATGTGGCAGCTCATAACTCCAGTTCTATGGAGGATCTGACCACCCTCACCTGGCATCTATGGGAACCAGGCATAAAAACATATGTGGGCAAAACACCCACACACATAAATTTGAGAATTTTATATTTTAAATAAAAATGCTAAAGAAAAAAAAAAAAGCCAGGCAGTGGTAGCACACTCCTTTAATACCAACAGAGGTAGGCAAATCTCTGAGTTCAAGGCCAACCTGGTCTACAAGACAGCCAGGACTGTTACACAGAGAAACCCTGTCTCAAAAAAACAAAACAAAATAAAAAAGCCAAAGCAAATTAAGAAATTCTCTAAGTCTTCTCCACCTCTAAAAGGCAAACTCTTCTGGCATATGTAGGTTCTCAGACACAAAACCTTTTAGTATTTTCTATTTGGTAACAAAGAGAGCCTCTAACTTGCTTGTTTAAAAAAAAAAAAAAAAGTTACTACCTAATCGTGATTCACCAACCCAAGAGGTTCCACTGGTTCATCAGTTTTTTTGCATTTCAAATCTTTAATATAAAATAATCCAAGTTGGGCACGGTGGCAAACACTAGGTGGACCTAGTGTTTGAAAGGCGTGTGGGGATGCCCGATTCCCAGCTTGCTGACCAGCCAATCTAGCCAATAGGTAAGCTATGAGTTCAGTGAGAGGCCCTGTCCATAAACAAGGTGGGAAATGGTAAGAGAAGACTCCCCAACATCAATCTCGGGCCTCCAAGTGTCTGCACATGCATTCCCATCACAAGTATACGAACGCAAGCCCCACAAAGAATGAGAAAACCCAAACAATAAAATAACCCAAGAACTCTATGCAATCTGGGTTCCATCCAGTTACCTTACGACGAATACATAAGCGAAAACCTGCCAAAGAGGACAATTCAAGCTCCAAGCACTAGCTCAGATCTGTAATTGCAACACTTGGCTGGCCAAGGCAGGAAGATCTCTGTAAGTTCCAGGCTAGCCATGTGGCTACTGTGGCTACCTAACTCAATTATTCCAAAAACAGCTGAATTGAGAGGGCAAGTTTTTTTTTTTTTTTTTTTTTTTTGGTTTTTCGAGACAGGGTTTCTCTGTGGTTTTGGAGCCTGTCCTGGAACTAGCTCTTGTAGACCAGGCTGGTCTCGAACTCACAGAGATCCGCCTGGAGAGGGCAAGTTTTTTAAATGAAAGGAATTTAAAACACTTGAGCTCAGAAGAACTCACTCAACTGGTTCCACCTGTAATCCTAGCACTTAGGAGGCTGAGACAGAAGGATCACTGGATCCTAGGACTAACCTATACTACCTAGTCCTTAGCTACCTCAGGCTAGGTAGTGAGACCTTAAAAAAGGGGGGGGGGTGGGGGGACCTGGAGAGGTGGCTCTGTGATTAAGAGCACTGGCTGCTCTTCCTGTGGCCCAGAGTTCTGCTCCAGCATTCCCATGGGGACTCACGCCTTCTACTACAGTCCCAGGCAGTGTACTGCCTTCTTCTGACCCCACCCCCAACAGCACACAAATGGTGCACACACATTCATGCAGGCAAAAATTAAAATAACTAAAATAATTTTTTTTCTTTTTTTCAGGATGTTTATGGTCCATGATTTTAATCCCAGCACTCAGGAGACAGAGGCAGGTGGATCTCTGAGGTTGAGGTCAGCCTGGTCTACAGAGTGAGTTCTGAAACAGACAGAACGACACAGAGAAACCCCCATCTCAAAAACAGGTGATTGGGGGCTGGAGAGATGGCTCAGTGGTTAAGAGCACTGACTGCTCTTCCAGAGGACCCGGGTTCAATTCCCAGCACCCACATGGCAGCTCACAACTGTCTGAAAATGCAGTTCCATGAGATCTGACACCTTCACACCAATGTACATAGAATAAAGTTAAGTAAATCATTAAAAAGAAAAAATTAAAAACAGATGATTGGTGGATAAATGAAACCTTTAACAAAGGAACACTTTAAAGTCTAATTTCCAGAAAAACCGTAAAATTCAGACTTTAAGGGCTGAGGATGTAGCTTAGTTGGTAGAGAGCTTACTCTACCAACAGTCCCAGAATCGAATGAACCAGGCCTGGTGGCACACTCCCATAAGCCTAGCACATGGAAGGTAGGGGTAGGTAGGTCAGGTTATCCTCAGTGGAAGGGAGTTTGAAGCCAGCATGTGCTATATGAAACTCTTAAACGGTTGTTTCTTAATAATGAAAAATGATTGTGATAAGATAGCTCTGTTGGCAAAGTGCCTGCCACACAAGCATGAGGGCCTGGGTTTAAATGTCTAGTACCCACATCAAAAGCCAAGGGGTAGTGGTACAAGCCTGTAATCTCAGTGCTAGTGGGGGTGGAGACATGAGGATCCCTGGGATGTCAAGCTCAGTGGATGTCCTCCGGGTTTCTCTCTCACACACACAGTACTTGACAAAAGAGCTCCATCCATTTGGCATTCTCAAGCAGTCAGTGCAGTGGTGTCGAATACAGACAATGCTTTGTCTCCTGCCAAATAATTAAATACAGAAAACCCCTTCTGAGAGCTAGTGAGTACGCTTTGTCATTAAGTGATTCCTTCCCTCAAAGTCTGGCCCATTGAAGGTTTTGCTACATTCTAGGAATCCAGGCTCTTCAGACACTTTCTAAAAAGACTAATGTTTGTAAACCCTGGGGTCATCCGAAGTTCTTACCTAATAAGACATGTTCCTGACATCCAGAAATCGCCTGTCAGTCAATATTTTATTCAAAGTTCTAAGAGTATTTAAAAAAAAAAAAAAAAGACTTTCAGCTATGTGGACTAAATCTGCAGCATTTCAGTCTAAGAAATCACGTGCTGTGGTGCACACCTACAGCCCTAGTTACCCACGAGGCTCAGGGGGAAGCAAAGGCTTACAAGGTACATAGTGAGAGCCCATGCACGCTGTAACCCAGGCAGATCCTGAACTTCTGATCTCGTACTTCAAAGCAGCTAGATCATGGGCCTACATCCAGGCCACTCTGAGATTTAGTATCCAAAGAAAAAAGAAAAAAGCTATACTGGAAGAAAAACGGTAGCAAAAAAAAAAAAAAAAAAAGTGAGAAGACCATCACTTATTCAGACAGTTTCCTCTGTCCCAGGCTGGCCTCAAACTTGCTCTAGTCCAGAATGACCCTGAGTTTTTTTTTTTATCCTCCTGCTTTCACAATCTCCCAAGTGCTGGGATTACAGGTGTGTCACCTAATCCTGCTTTGTGAAGTGCTAGAGATCAAAAACAGGACCTCATATTTGTTGAGCAAGTACTCATTCTATCACAACCCTCGACCTCCTGCACTAATTTTTGAAACATATAGACTATTTGTTTATGGATTTTTATTTTAATTTATTTCTTTTCTTTTTTTTTTTTCCTTTTTTTTTTTTTTTTGAGACAGGGTTTTTCTCTGTAGCCTTGGCTGTTCTGGAATTTATTCTGTAGACCAGGCCAGCCTTGAGAACCACCTACTGAGATTAAAGGTATGTGCTGCCACCATTCAGCAAATCATGTAGATTATTACCTACTCAAAGATGTAAATATGATTAAAAAAAAAACTTTTTTAAAACCAAAGTTAAAGTCCAGAAGAATGTAGCACTGGCTGTCTTAGAACTTACTCTGAAGACCAGGCCTGCCTCAGCCTCCCAAAGCTGTGTGCCACCTCCACCAGCTTTTAATTGTTGCTGCTGTTTTTGAGACAGGATTTCTCTAAGTAGTTCTAACTAAACTGAACTAACAGGGATCCCACCTGCCTCTGCCTACTGAATGCTGGGATTAAAGGGCCACCATGCCCAGTTCAGAGATGCTTTTTCATTGGGACTAGATAAGTTAACAGCTGTCCAAAGCAATGAATACTCACAGACGAAGCTCTTCGAAAGACTTCACTGAGTAGAGAGGCGAGCTTGGGTCCCTCTGCAGGACTTCTACTTGGTTGGTGTTATCCACAAGATTGCTTCTGATCAGCTTGTTGAGCAAAGACTGAGCAGCTCTGTCCTCTGTCAGGAGGAAAGCAGACGTTCTTCACCCACACGAGGCGAGGCCACCCTTGAGAAAACAGTCTCCCCATCTCCACATCAGGCCTTGACAAGCACTCACAGTGGAGGTAAGCCCAGCCCCACTCCCTTCCAGTTTTAATGTATTTAATGTTGTCTCACATGAGCTCACAGCTCCCTTCGGACACAGGGTCCTGAGTTCTGGGATTCCTGTCCTTGCAATGAACAAGCTATTTTTTGTTCTAAAACTCATTTGCTGTAGTCTCCCAGACAGCTGAGACTGCAAGCACATGATGCTCCTCAATCACCCTGCCGGCTATAGTGACACCTTTTGTTTCTGTTTTCCAGAACTAGGGATAAAACTCAGGGCCTAGCACACACAGGACATGTGTTCTGCCCTTGAGGTGCATGTCAAACACACTTGGTGTGTAATGTGTCTGTATGAGTACAAAAGTGTGCATGGATACTTGTGTACATGAGTTTGGAGGTCAGAGATTGAGATCATGAATCTTCCTCAACTGCTCAGTCCCCTCATTTTTTTTTTTTTTTTTTTGTTCTCCAAGACAGGGTTTCTCTGTGTAACAGCCCTAGCTGTCCTGAAACTAGCTCTGTAGACCCGGCTGGCCTCGAACTCACAGAGACCCGACTGCCTCTGCCTCCCAAATCTGAGATTAAAGGGATACACTACCACTACCTGGCAGCTGTCCCCTTATTTTTTGAGATGGGGTCTCTCAATGAGCCTAGAGTTATTTTAGACTGGTTCGGCAGAAAGCTCAGGATCCCCGTTGTCAGACCACCCCTCCACCACCAGAACTAGGCTCACAGATGCATGCTACTGCTCCTAGTTACTGTGTGGTACAAACTGGGGGTACAAACTCAGGTCACGATTTTATGGGGGGCGGGGCACTTTATTGGATGAGCCACCACCTTCCCAGATTTGACACACCACTGTTGAAGACATTTTTTTTTTTTGGCTTCAAGGACAACACACTCTTGTTTTGCAATATTATTTGAAGATGTGTTACATTTGCTTATGTTGTGGCACAGTTGTTTAATAATGCAAAGATGTGTTGCATTCCTTTGTTACATTTGTTTAACTCTGTGAAGCTGTGTTACTTTGCCTGCCTAAAACACCTAAATGGTCTAATAAAGAGCTGAATGACCAACAGCTAGGCAGGAGAGCAACAGATAGGGTTGCCAGGCAGAGAAAATAAACAGAAGGAGAAAAAGAGAAGAGGAAGGAGTGAGGAAAAAGAGGAGATGAGGGTGCCAGGGGCAGCCACTCAGACACACACAGAATAAGAAGGAAAGAAAAGATATACAGAAATAAGGAAAGGTAAAAGCCTAGGGCAAAAGGTAGATGGGCTGAGTTAAGAAAAGCTGGCTAGAAAAGAGCCAAGCTAAGACCCAGCATTCATAAGAAGGAATACGCCTCCGTGTGATCATTTGGGAGCTGGGTGGTGGGACCCAAAAGGCAAAGAGCAAGAAACCAACTGTGCACTCTTCATTTTCCCTCACTTCCTGTCCTCACAACTCAAGTGGCTCCAGTTCCACGTGGCCAAGTCCTGGGCACAGCAAGGCTCTCGCACGAGAACGTCAAAGAACGGTTACCTTTCTCTTCCTCCTCTGTCTTCTCCGCAGAGGTGCTGGTTTTGATAACACCTGCACAAGAAAACAGCTGCCATCAGAAAGGCAAACACTAAACCCATCTACAGGTTAGGACAACATAAACATTAACAATAAAGTGAACAAATTAAAGAACTGGCTTTTTTATATTTAATGGATTTTATGTTTATGAAGCATGTTCAGAACATAAGAAAAAACTTAAATTTAAACTTAGAATCACAGGGGCTGGAGAGATGGCTCAGCGGTTAAGAGCATTGCCTGCTCTTCCGAAGGTCCTGAGTTCAATTCCCAGCAACCACATGGTGGCTCACAACCATCTGTAATGAGAGGCCTGCAGGAAGAATACTGTATACATAATAAAAACAAATAAATAAATATTTAAAAAAAAACTTAGAATCACAAAAATATTTTATTTCTGACTTAATTATCCTAAAAAGCAGCAAAGCCTTACTGTTACGTCCACCCTCGTCCAGAAGGATGACGCACCGGAGCTCTTCTCACTGCAGTCCATTTCAGGACTTTATTCACTTTCTCTCTCTCCTCCTCCCTCTTTCTCTTGGGCAAACCTCTCCCAGCCCTTAAGTAGGCACGAGCTACCAACCCCGGATTGCCAGGTGGGCACTGCCCATAGGTCCATGCATATGCAAGCAGCTGATAATCATTGCGTGATCATAGCATAGGTCAGGCCTTAGCCATCTCAGGAGTTGATTATACGTCTCCATCAGGTGTGACTCCACGCAGCTCGCTACACCTTACATAGCAAATTCTATTCGCCATTTTTTTTTAACCTATAAGACTAGAAAAACTCAATCTGACTAAACATTTTGTGATTAGACTGTAGGGTTAACAGACACTTTCAGGCTGTCGACAGAAATATAAAATTGTAGAACACTCACAAAGAGCCTCGTATGGTGGTGAATGTCTGTAATCCCAGGACTAGGGAAGTAGAAGCAAGCTCACTCATGAATTTGAGGTTAGCCTGGACTATCTATAAATTTTTTTTCTATCTATAAATTCTACATCAGTCAAGATTATACACGGAGACTCTGTTCCAAAAAACACTAAAAATAACAATCTTACAGAGGGTACTTTATGTTTTGTTTGTGAGACAGGGTCTCATGCAGCCCAGGCTGGCCTGGAGTTTGCTATGTGGCAGGGAATGATACTGCACTTCTGATTCTCCTGATTCTACTTCCAAGGGTTTAGATTACAAAGAAGCATCAACATGCCTGGTTCATATGGTACTAAGAATTGGATCCAGGTTCCTGCATGCTGTCCAGCATGCTACCAACTAAGATATATCCTCACCACCACTTTGAAAATATTTGTAAGACAGGTGATGGTGGTACAACCCTTTAATACCAGCACTTGAGAGGCAGAGGCAGGCAGATCTCTCAGAGTTCAAGACCAGTCTGGTCTACAGAGCGAGTTTCTGGACAGCCAGGTCAGTTACACAGAGAAATCCTATCTTGAAAAGCCAAGGTAACAAAATAATAATAAAAGGTAAAAACTAAGGGGCTGGAGAGATGGCTCAGCGGTTAAGAGCATTGCCTGCTCTTCCAAAGGTCCTGAGTTCAATTCCCAGCAACCACATGGTGGCTCACAACCATCTGTAATGAGGTCTGGTGCCCTCTTCTGGCCTGCAGGCATACACACAGACAGAACATTGTGTACATAATAAATAATAATAAAAAAAAAGTCAAAAAAAAAAAAAGGTAAAAACTGAATAACTGGGTAAAAGTAGTTGCTGCCAAACCTCATGACCTGAGTTCAATCTCCAGGTCACACCAGGCAGACACAACCAACGCCTTTAAGTTGTCCTCAGACCTCCAACTGTACACCATGGCACGTCATCACTCACACACACATAGCATAATGAAATTTCTTAAAGATTTATTTTTGTCATAATTATATAATGTTTGAGCACATGAGTGCCCAAGTGTCCTTAGAGGACGTTGTGAGCCACCTGATGTGGTGCTGAGAACAGAACTGGGTTTCTGCAACGAGAACTCTGAACCACTGAGGCATCTCTCCAGCACACCACAATTGTTTTTGGTTTTTCAAGACAGGGTTTCTCTGTGGCTTTGGAGCCTGTCCTGGAACTAGCTCTGCAGACCAGGCTGGCCTCGAACTCACAGAGATCTGCCTGTCTCTGCCTCCTGAGTGCTGGAATTAAAGGCATGTGCCAAGCCGGGCAGTGGTGGCGCACGCCTTTAATCCCAGCACTCGGGAGGCAGGCGGATCTCTGTGAGTTCGAGACCAGCCTGGTCTACAAGAGCTAGTTCCAGGACAGGCTCCAAAACCACAGAGAAACCCTGTCTCGAAAAAACAGAAAAAAAATAAAATAAATAAATAAATAAAGGCATGTGCCACCACTGCTGGCTCACAATTTTTTTTTCAAATGCTTATACTCTTGACCTAGCAAATCTATTCAGGGTAAATTATTGTAGAAATGCACTGCACAATATAAAGTATTTAAGCTCATGGATATTCTGAGACATACTGTTTCTAATAATATCAAACTGAGACAAACCCTAGATGACTGATTAACAATGTATCAACATAATGCAATGTTGCGCAGGTCAATATGGAGAGCATGTAAAGTTATACTGTTGCATGGGAAAAAAATCAGGTATATTGTGCATTATCTTGTCACCTCTCAGAGGTAAGTGATAAGGAGAGAGGAACCGGAGAACAGAAACAATGAAAATATGAATCTCTACCTTCATTCGCCTTATATAACGAAACTTTGGAATATTAAAAATTCAATGCCAGGTATAGTAACACAAATTTGTAATCCTGGCACTTGAGATGCGGAGGCAGGAGGAATGCTATGAATTCAAGTCCAGGCTCAGTTACACAGCAAGACCCTGCTATTAAAAATAAATAAATAAAGAATAGACTTAAACAATTAAGCCAAATGAAACTAAAGTAAAACACCACTAACAGTAGTTACTTCTGTGTTACAGATTTAACTGAGTATTCCTAAAATTCATTTATCCTGTCCTGATCCCCAGTACCTCAGGAAATGGGGTTAAATGTATCCAACTCCAATATTACTGAACCCATATCAAAAGGGGAACCCAGGGCCGAGGAGTGACAGAGCACTTACCTCAAATGTTTAAGATTCCGAGTGTGGTCCTCAGCTTTTCTAAGCATCCAGTCAATCAATTTATCAACAAACAAAGGAATGCTATTTAGGAGAGCACCATGTGAGATCTGGGTAAAATCATTAAAACCCAAGGAACACCAAAATCTGCCAGCAAAAGCCTGGAATAAGGTCTTTCTACAAGTCCTCAAAAGCAACAAACTTTGCTGACACCTTGATCTTAGAATTCTAATCTCCTGGGCTTTGAGACAATAAACTACTGTGGGTTGTTGTTTCTTGAGAAAGGGTCTCATTTTATAGCTCTGGCTGGCCTCTAGGTCAGAAATCCTCCTGCCTCTGCCTCTTCTGGGACGAAAGGCTTACACCACCACACTTGGCAGCTATTATGGCTGCTACCACCTTGGGGTGCTTTGTTAGAAGTGTCCCGGCAAATGAACACAGGCGGGCACAATAAACTCTGGAGCAGCGTGGAAAGGAGGCCTTGCACCTTTTCATACTTTCTGAGTTTTGTTTGTTTCTGAGACAGAGTTTTGCTATATAGTCCTGGGGTGGAGTAGGGGAGGTGGTCTAAAAAACTTCAACAATCCTCCTGACCACAGGAATCACAGGGGGAAGCCACCATGTCTAGCCTGAACCTAGTCAGGTTTCAAAGATTTTAATACCAGGTAAACAGGAACACAATCCAACAGTGACATGTGTGTGTGTGTTGTTCTGTAGACAGGGTTTCTGTGTTAGTCCTTGCTGTCCTGGAACTCACTCTGAAGACCAGGCTGGCCTCACACCCATACCTCCAGCTGCCTCTGCCTCCCAAGTGCTGGGATTAAAGGTGTGTACCACTACCACCTGGTTGTGACTTTTGTTTTTAAAGCATCAGAAGCTGGGAAAATCTGGAAAACATTACCTCTTCAGAAATACACGCTAATTCCTCATTTGGGCTCCATCCTAGGCTGACATCTGCCGAGAGACTCTAGCACAGACCCACTGCGTCACCAGTGACGCAGGTGCAACTCTGTACCTCGTCTGCAGTCACCAGTGACGCAGGTGCAACTCTGTACCTCGTCTGTGGTTACCAGTGACTCACCATTTGTGTCTGCTTGGATTTTTTCTTCTTTGATCTGCAAACTGCTCATCTGAGTAAGAAGAAAAGGAAACAGTAAGCAAGAGAACCAACCAAGGGAGGCAGTAGGGCTGCCTGGTGAGAGGTTAGCAGAAACTACTGCAGAGCTTGCTGGGGAACTAGTTTGTTCCACTCAATACGGAAGTGCTAAAAGCCTGGGCAAAAGCATCTCACGTTTCCTCAGCAGCATAAAAAGAGGAGGTGGGCATGGATTAAACATAATGTTATAAGGAGAAAGGGGGAGAAAGCCTTTGAGCGTTTGCTTTTCTTCTGACTTACACTCTTTCTAGAACATATCCAAGTTTTTGTTTGTCTGAGTTTGGGTGATGCTAGCAGGACACAGAACTTGTGTCCTTAATGGCAGGCAGGCTACCACTAAACCATGCCCCAGCCTCTTTAACCCTATTAACAGCAAATAAATTATAGTCCTCTATCCTTTTAACCTGCATGGTACGTTAGTTTAAGATGTATTACAATGAACTGAGTGCAGCGAAACAGGCCTTTATCTATAGCACTTGGGGAATGGAGACAGCAAGAACGGGAGTTGAAGATCATGAGTTAGAAGCCAGCTCGTGCAACATGAGACTTGCCTTAAAACAAAACAAAACAAAACAAAACAAAACAAAAAAACAGCAAAGTCAATGCCCCCATCAAACAAACCCCACAGGGTTTCTCTGTGTAGCTTTGATGCCTGTCCTGGAACTAACTCTGTAGACCAGGCTGGCCTCGAATTCACAGAGATCCACCTGCCTCTGCCTCCCGAGTGCTGGTACTAAAGGTGTGCACCACCACCACCACCAGGCTCAGTTGTTGGTTTTGTAAGACAGGGTCTCTCTACAAACTTTGGCTGTGCTGGCATACACTTCTGTAGACAAGCCTGTCCTCAGACTCAGAGATCCACCTGCTTCAGCCTCCCAACTGCTGAGATTAAAAGTGTGAGCCAATACACTTAGCTTGAACTGTTATCCTTCTTGGAACCACTATAATGCTCTCAGATTTGCAATACTTTGCTAAATGCGTGTCTAGGAGGTGAAAAGTGTATGCGTGTTGGAGTGGTGGTGCTGAAGTATATCTCAAGGGGATTTACATCAGCCTTCTGATAAGCAGAATGATTAGGTCAAATATCCAGGATGTTTAGGTGCTATTGGTGACATTCACATCATAATGAGATTAGGGACATACTTAGCTTTTACCCCCTGCAGTGTAGGGGTAAAGTCCAAGCTAAGCAAGTGTGACTTACAAAACTAAGTCCCCAGCTTTGGTTAGTACATTTAAAAAAATCCAGAAATGTGGGTACGGTGGGACCCTCCTGCAATTCCAAATAAGACAGGAGGATTACCGAAGTCCAGGGGTTTGAGGCCATACTGGACATCAGTGTGAGATGCTCTTTCTCAAACACATATAATTAAATTGAAAACAATTCCCAGTCACTATCTTTTAGGGACAATTTCATACCAAACATCAGATTTGAAGTTTCAGCCTGGGGCTCATAAGATAGCTCAGTGGGGAACTGCATGTCATGCAGCCTGACAAACTGAAATCCATCCCCCACACACAGGCATGCTTAAAACAAGCATACATACACAAAATACAATTAATGGTTTAAAAAATAAATACAGGAGCTACAATGATGGTTGGTTCAGTGGTTAAGAGAGTTTGCAGAAGTCCATGGTTTGGCTCCCAGCACCCACAGAAAGGCTCACGTCAGATCCCCGGAATCCAACACCCTCTTCTAACATACGAAGTCACAAAAGATGGTGCACAGATACACATAAAACAGACATAAGTAGATATTAAGAGAAAGTAGTTGAGGCCACCCTGAACTAAACTGTAATCTGCAGGTCATCTGGTCTGTCTCAAAAATAGAACAAAGGAGGCTGGAGAGATGGCTCAGTGGTTAAGAGCATTGCCTGCTCTTACAAAGGTCCTGAGTTCCATTCCCGGCAACCACATGGTGGCTCACAACCATCTGTAATGAGGTGCCCTCTCTGGCCTGCAGACATACATACACACAGACAGAATATTGTATACATAATAAATAAATTTAAAAAAAGAACAAAGGCATCAAATCTGTAACTCTAGCGCTTAGGAGGGAGCAGAAAGATACCCAGAATTCTGAAGGCTAGCCTCAGCTACACAATAAGAAGCCAACCCACACTAAGTGAAACCCTGTCTCGAACGCACTACCACCACCACCATAAAAAAGCCTTAAAAAATGAAACTAAACGTCACTAAAATATTAACTAAACAGTTTGTATTTGTAGTTATGTGATGCATTAAAGCAAAGCAAAACAAAAACAAAAACCGTTGTTCTGGAGAGCTACAAACCGCCAACCACATTAAGCATGAATGTAAGAACTGTTAGGTGAAAAGAGGCATAAACGCGCTCAAAAACTGTCCCTTAGCAATGAAAATGATGGCATTTGTTATGAAAGGTCAAGAGAAAGCCAGTTTGGGGCCTCGCACACATAGTGAGGACAGAGTCACCACGGGAAAAACTTTTCAGTCCACTCGGATAAGAAACTCGCAGCGGGTTTTCTGCGCTCTAGGAACAAATCAGCACTAAGCGATTGGCCCGCTGCAAACTCCAGCGGCGCGCGGGCCGACCCGACTCGGAGGTCTCCGAGCTGGAGACGGCGGCCTCCCGAGACCCCTAACCCCGCCAGGCTACCGACCGACTTGACAGCGGCTTCCTGCTCGTCCACCGCCAGCGCCCAAGAGTCGGTGGCCATGGTCCCAAGACTGGAGAGACCTGCCGATAGGTTCCGGACCTCGTCAACCCCAGCCCGCGCCAAGCGCCAAGCGCCACTCGGGCGGAGCGGAAGAAGTTGTGCGTGGAATTGACGTCAGTTCCTGTCCCGCGAGGTCGTCTCCCACCCGCGCTCCGCCCCTGCGTTGGTAGGCAAGCCTACTTGACTGGGTGTAGTCTGATTGTAACTTAACGCCCAAGAGCTCGGCAAAGAGTAACTTAGCACTCACTGCATCTCTTCGTTTCACACTAAAATAGTTCCTTTTTTTGGTTCGTAACAAGGTTTCTTGCAGTTAGCTGCCTTGAACTCGGTTTCTTCCTTCACTTCTCAAGTGCCGAAATTACAAGCGATCCGACGCCTTCTACCGGCCTTTGCGGTCACGGACACAAACATGCATGCACGTAATTAAAAATAAAATGAGCCGGGCGGTAGTAGCACAGGCCTTTAATTTCAGCACTTGGGAGGCCAGAAGCAGGCAGATCTCTGAATTCGAGACCAGCCTGGTCTACAGAACGAGTTCCAGGACAGCCAGAGCTACACAGAGAAACCCTGTCTCGAAAAACAAAACAAACAAAAGAACGCATCGTATACAATACATTTGAATCATTTCTCAGCATCCCTTATGTCATCTCCAGTTAGGTCTCAGCATCCCTATGTCATCTTTATTTCCCAGTTAGAGAAGTTAATTCTGACATCACACAGCCTGAACAACGGACAAATGTGACCATTGATTTCAGGACAACCCAGGTCTATAGCACAAGCCCAAAACCTGGGTTAGTTGTCTTCTTACCAATTCAACAAGCATGCATCTTAGGACCTTGCCTGTATCTGACTGACCAAAGGCAAATGATCGAACCAATCACCAGAGGACAACATCCCTTTCCAGGGTGTGAAGATTGCTTGACATTATGTAGATAATGGAAGTACAGGGCACTATGGGAGATTAATATAGAAATGGAGCACACCTTCTGAAGATTTTTACCACTGAAACAGGAAGAAGAGATCCAGCGAAAGGTAGAATTTAAGAGTCATGGGGATAGCCAGGATATGGTGGTGTACGCCTTTAATTCCAATGCTTGGGAGGCGGGTCTCTGTGAGTTCAAGGCCAGCCTGGCCCAGTGTTCCAGGACAGCCAGGACTGTTACACAGATGAACCCTGTCTTGGAAGCCAAACAGATAAATAAATAAATAAATAAATAAATAGGCCAGAGAAATGCCTCAGACGTTGAGAGAACTGATTGCTCTTCTAAAGGACCGGGGTTCAATTCCCAGCACCCACATGGCAGCTCACACTGTCTATAACTGCAAGCCGTGACACCCTTGCACAGACATACATGCAAGCAAAACACCAATGCACATAACATGAAAATGATTTTAAAAATTCATGGGAGGGGGCTGGAGAGATGGCTCAGCGGTTAAGAGCTTTGCCTGCTCTTCCAAAGGTCCTGAGTTCAATTCCCAGCAACCACATGGTGGCTCACAACCATCTGTAATAAGATCTGATGCCCTCTTCTGGCCTTCAGGCATATACGCTGACAGAATATTGTATACATAATAAATAAATAAATATTAAAAAAAATTCATGGGATCACAAGTTGTTTGGAACATCTTGGTTGCAGAGAAAGCCCACCATGCAGGCTCCTTAGTTTGTTGAGCTCTCTCTCTCTTTAGTTTTTTTCAAGACAGTTTCTCTGTACAGCCTTGGCTGTCCTGGACTCACAGAGATCCACCTACCTCTGTTTTCCAAGCACTGGAATTAAAGGTATGAACCATCACACACAGAAAACTCTCTTAAACTTTTTATGAAAATATTTACTTTTCTGTGTATTAGTGTTTCTGTCTGCACTTATGTTTGTGTGTCAGATCCCATAGAACTAGAGTTAGAGTTGTGAGCTGCTATGTGGGTGCTGGGAACTGAACCTGGGTCCTCTAGAACCGTTGAGCCATCTCTCCAGCCCCGAGCCCTCTAAGGATACAGGATCCGTGAGAGCAGGACTGCCAGGCTGTCCTCTACTGCGCTTCCCGACTCTGCTGCATGGCAAGGCTCCTATTCCCAATTCTTTCCTTGCCTGCATTCACGTCCGCTAGGAGCTGGGAGAGAGAAGTTTCTACTCACCCTTTAACTTTGGCAGTTTCTTTCAGTTTTTGCTTTTTGCTTCAGGTTGGGATGGAGGGTGTGAAAAATGAGAAATTAGGAAAATACAGAAGGCCATCAACTTCTGCGATGACAGGATAGAACTGGAGCAGTGAGGGCCCCTCGTCAACTTCATTTTGTACTTGAACCAAAAATGCAGTGTTTTTTATTTTTAGATCCACTCTCACTTTGACCTCACAGTCCTCCTGCCTCAACCCTTTGACCATTGAGATTATAGGCGTGTGCTACCAAGTACAGCTAAAGCTGAGTAACTCTGGTTGGGTTGGAACTATGTAGACTAGGTTGGCCTTAAACTCTTAGAAATCCACCTCTGTATGCCCACTGAAAAATTAGGATTAAAGCCATTGGCACAGCTGACAAGCCACTGTGTGAGAAGACCTGCGGCACAGCTATGGACAGTTGATCTAAAGGACTTGTTTTATCGCTTCAGGGACAGGAAGCAAGAGTCAAGTTGACTGCACGTACTGGCTTTGTGGGAGCCTAGTCGCTTTGGATGCTCACCTTCCTAGACCTGGATGGAGAGGGGAGGACCTTGGACTGCCCACAGGGCAGGGAACCCTGACTGCTTGTAGGACTGGAGAGGGAGAGGGAGGGGGAGTGGGGGAAAAATGGGAGGAGGTGGAAATTTTTAATAAATAAATAAAAACTCAAAAAAAGAGTCATGTTGAATTCTAGGTTTCTAACTTGAACAATAGGCAGGGTGTTTGCTAGGCTTCATGCTGTTCTGTTCATAATAACGGAACTAGAAAACACCCCAGGATAAGCAGCAGTTGTTTCTCCTACCCTAGAACTCAACCATCAGGTCTTGGGATGGATTTGGGGGATTTCCAGCAGATAGGGCCACAGGATTGAACAAGGTTGTCTGTGGCAAAGAGGAGGAAATGACCAGACACTGAGACATAAGGAGGTGAATAAAAGCATTAAGGAACCTGAGACATGGTCAGAAGAAACAAAAAGTGAGTGTGTCCCAATGGTAAGCACTAGAGTGGCTCTAGTTCCTGGAGGACGTTCTGCTGGATACTGCTAAGGAATCTAATACAATACAAAGTGTGCTGCAGATCAGGCTTGCACAGTCCATCAGTGTTCTGGGCAAAGGACACTTTTTCAGGAGAGCTGTGGGGAGCACAACTACATAGGATTAGTACTGGAAACCAAAGCATCAAATTAACTCTTGTAAACCTTGGCCAGAACAAGTGCTGGGGCTGGGTGGGGTGCTGTGCACTTGTAATGGACACATTTGCAAGTCGAAGGAATGCTGTGAGTTTAAGGCCAGCCTGACCTTGTCTCAATAAAATGGGCACTCAAGAGATGGCTCAGTTGTTAAAAGCAGAGGACCCGGGTTTGGTTCCCAGCTCCATATGGTGATTCGGGATTGTCTGTAAGGAGAGTTCTAGGAACTGGATGCCCTCAGCTAACCTCCACAGGCACTGCAGACATACATGCAGACAAAAAACCCCATATACATTTTTAAAACTCTATTTATTTAAAATGACAAGCAAATCGTAAAAATTACAATCTGTGTGTGGGTATGATAAGGTCTAAAGACAACTCCCCGAGGCAGGTTTTCTAACTTAAGCTTTTATCCACTGAGCCATCTCACCAGCCATATCTTGATAACCTCTATGCGTATTTAGCAGCTACTGCTGTCAGACAGCAAAATGCACACACACACACACACACACACACACACACACACACACACACACGCTCATTTGGTAACATAACCTGCGTTGTCCTTTTGTCTCTTATTTATTTGGGTTTTGGAAGCAGAGTTTTTCTGTGTGTAGAGTTCCCTTCAAGTATAAACAGGGGAAGGAGGTTAGCCCTCAGGAATAACAACCTAAACTCAGTAGACTGTTATGAAACTGAAGAATTAGAATGCTGGAGAACACACTGATAAGGATGTAAGAGAACAGCAAAGACTGAAAACAAGAGCCATCTAGGGAAAAATGTCTCTTACCTTGGCAATATCTACCCACAGCCCCAGGCTAAAAGGGCACAAAAAGCTCTGCTCTCTCATCCATGTCCCTTATCTGTCCATGAACTACAGCTAAGGCAGAAGGGTGAGTGTTCCATTCAGACAGCAGTCAGGTGTCACTGTCAAGCTTCACCTAACCTTTCATTTTTGGTGAGATGCTATCCATGTTGTCCCAACAGTTCTCAAACTTTCAGCGGCGATCAGCCCCGGCAAGCATTAAGATCACAAATGTATGCCGCCACACCCAGCCCGGCCTCAGACACCTTTCCCCACCTTCTTTTCCCATGTCACAACTCAAACTGCAGAAAAGCTTTGCCCCATGGATTCAAAAGCCAGGGCAGTCTAGAGGCCAAGGAAACCATGTGCTACCCTCATGTGTCCACATTTTCACACTAGGTCTCCAAAGCCGTTGATAAACTATCAAAGAATGAGTGCCTCGGTGTTATTGGGTTCATCTCATGCCCCAGGGTCCTTTAGGGAAGACACTGCAACAGCCGGGCAACAGAATACAGAATATTTATTCTCAGGCAGAGGAACAAAGTCAGTTAAATTGCAAGATGTTCCCAAGAATCTGGAGAAACTTGAAGATCCCTTAAATCTTCATTACCTTGGGTGGTATGGGCAAAGGAGGCAGTCAGTACAGTCTCTCCAACAACAGAAATCCAATTTCACTACATCTGTGATTTAAGAATTTCTGAATGTTGACGACTCAGTCTTCAGACCTACTTTCCAGCTGCGTCTGATCTTCAGACTACCCAGGCTTGGCTATGCATTCTGTCACAGCAGGATAGTGGACTATGACGCAGTCTAATCAGTGGGTCTTGGTAGTTCCTACCTAGAATCCCACGACTCAGGATGCTAAGGCAGGACTGCTTTGATTTTCAGGCCAGTCTGTGTTTAATAGTGAGACTCCCCTCTCTCTCAAACACAGGAAAAAAATAA